AGGCTTCTTCAGCCATGTGGAACTGTAAGTCCAATTCAACCTCTTTCTTTTGTCAATCGCCCAGTCTCAGGTATGTCTTTATCAGTAGCCTGAAAATGGTCTAATACACCATTCCTCTATATTTTTACTTACAGTTCATTTCCAATTGCTATAAATCATACTGTGATGAACACATTGAGACACAATTTGTTCTCATTATTTCCTAATGATACATTCCCAAAAGTGGAATTACTGGGCCACAGTTATATTTTAAACAGCATGGTAAGGTTAGCAGACAATTTAATTAAAACTCCAGATATATGAGTTCTAATTCCAGCCATTTTTTTCTAAACTACTTTGTAACATTGGTCAAATGAGTTCATTGTTCTGGTCTTGAGTTTCTTCAGTTTCCCCACCTACAATATAAGAAGGGTAAACTAAATTATTCATATTTTAGAGGGCCTACCTTGCTTATCTATGAGTGCATAACAAATTATCTACAAAACCTTGTGGCTAAACTAACAATTATTCTGTTATTTCTCATAATTCTGTGGGTTGACTGTCTCTCAGCTGTATCTTCTGCTGGTCCTGCTCCTAGTTCCTTACTCAATTGCAGTCAAATGGGGGCTCCATATTCAATAACCAAGATGCAATGTCCAAGATGGATGCACTCATGTACCTAGCACCTTGTTAGGGATAGCTGGGATCAGCTGGGATCCTAGGAGATCTGGGCTTCCTTCTCTCTCCCTGTAGCCTTGGGGTGTCTCCTCTTCATGTGACCTCTCTATATAGTATCTCCATGTTGTCTCTCCATGTGGTATCTCCTTCAGGGCAATGGAACTTCTTATGTGGAAGCTCAGCCTCTCCGAAGTGCAAATATATCATCACTTCTACCACCTTCTCTTGAAAAAGCAAGTACCAGGATCAGCCCAGCTTCAGCATGAGAGGGACAGTGCAAAAGCATGGATACTAGGGGCCATATTTAGCAAATAGATACCACATAGTATCTCACTGCAATAGGGTCCTCAGAGCTCTAGGATTTTAATTATTTGAAAATTTGCAATCCATATGTGGCAAGTGCTATGACAGACTATGTATCAACATTAGGGATTCTGTAGTGAATCTCTGTTACCAGGGATGTTTATTTTACTAGAACACTCAATTTCACAACCCTTCCTGGAAAGAAATGAAAGTATTCACAGAAAGAATACTGGAAGCATTCTTTCCATTCTGGGAAAAGAAATAGAGAAGATTTAGTCTACTTGTATTAAAATAATTGCACTGTTCTCTTTGTTCTGACAATCTCTACATTGACATGTTAGCTACTAGCTGCACAGAAGATATACATCAATTGAACCTTTCCACATCCTAACCCAAGGAGAGTACCTGGTGGAAGATCCAACAGTATCTGGAAGTAATTGAGTTTCCTCACATGGAGTTTAGAAAATGGTCATTCTGACTGGATTTTACAGACACTCCACATGATTGGGGAAACCAAAAAGAGATTAACCAGAAATGAGCCTTCAGAGCAATGAAAAATGAATCTTCTGCCCACTATCACCTAGCAAAAGATTCTGCACCTTTCAATAGACTAATTTTATTACGCAATAGCTGAGTATATCCACTAAGCCCCATAGAACTGAGACTTCCAGGCAGTGAGAAAACCAAATAACCATTGTTACAGACAAATAACAAAGCCAGACTTAGTAACATTTTATTAACCATCAATGCCAAATTATAAATGCTTGAGAAGAATGTCCTTTTTCTCCCATACTAAGGGAAAATGGCAGCTTTTTATTAAGTCTATCTCTTAAAACTTAAACATTTGTTCTTTTTGCTGCCTAGCAGTGAGAACTGAAGCTTCCAGAATGTTTATTTATTTATATCGCATTTGCCTTGATGTTGCCCAAGTAATAATACATAGTAACAGAGACAGATGAGAGTTCTGTATCATCCTTTCCCTCAGGGCAAACCAGGCACAAATAGACCTCTAATAAAAAAATCCACAGAGCAGAACAAGAAGTAACAGGGAATAAAATGAGAAAAACAGTTTCCAAGCACAGCCTTTGAAAATTACAGAACAGAAAAATCTCCTACTCAAAGTGAAGTAAGGCCTCTTCAACTTTCACATTATACAGTGGGTTTTAGTTTCATTACTTGATTCTTTAGCACTAACCAGGTTACTTCTAAATATAATGTCACCTTTCTTGGCTTCAGGAAATAGCAATGACTTCAATGGTGCTTTATTCATAAAATGGTACTCTTTCCTAAGTAGCAGCTGAAATAAAGAGGTTTTTGTATAAATTTAGAGGGTACAAATGCCATTTTGATTCATGGGTATGTTGCATAGTAATGAAGTCTAGACTTTTAGTGCAACCATCATTCAAAGAGTGTGCATTGTACCCATTAAGTAATTTCTCATCCTTCACCAGCCCCCATACACAATTCCAAGTCTGCAATGTCTATTTTACCACATGGCTTAGTTCCCACGCATCACTGAGAACATGTAGTATTTGACTTTCTGTTTTTGATTTGAAATATAGAGATTTTTAAACAAAATATAAATATGATTACCCAAGATGTGCTTATTTCCTGCAAAGCAACTACTAATTTATTCAACAAATACCCTGTGATTGCCAACTACATGCCAGACACCATGCGAGATCCTAAGAATACATACATGATAAAACAAGATATTGTTTTTGCCCTCAGGAAATGTTAGTCCACAAGAAGCAATAGACCACTAAGCAGGCTGGAGCCCAGGGAAGTGACATACCGCTGGTCTAGAGCTTCAGGGAAGGATATCCAGAACTAATAAGTTCTGAGGTAGGAAAGATTCAGGGAAATCGGTCAAGGAAAGAGGACTGAGGTGAGTGAGCAGGATATGGTGGCTATGGGGGCACCAACCCTCGGGGAGGAAGTTTCAAGCAAAGGAACATGAAGTGTAAAGGTGTTAAGAGCCAAAGATGGCTCTGGGGGACCAATAGGCTTCTAAGATTCAGAAGCTAGCACCTACCAGTGTGTACTTCAAAATATTCCATTCCATTTTACGACCGAGAACAGAAATCACACATCCTTAAGGAGCCCTAAGCATTTCACCAATGGATGCATGCCCATTGGTGCTTGTATCCTTATGTAAATAAATCATGCTTCACCAGCTTGTCTCCTCACTTGCTGCTAAAAGACCTCTTGTTTTTCACAAAGTCCACTCCCTGGGCCTTGTGCCATTATTTCTGTAGATCAGAAGGAATTAAAACTGTCCTCATATATCAATGGTTCTCAACCAGGGATGCTTTGCTTCCCAGGGGACATTGGGCTATACTGATGATAAAACAGTTTTGGGTAGAAGTCAGGGATGCTGCTAAATATTCTTTAGTATGTAGGACAACTACTACCTCAAGGAAGTATCTGGCCCCAAACATCAAGAGACAAGTGCTGTGGGCCATCATAGGTACTTCTGAAATGTTAGGCAAGTCTAAACACAGTACCTCTTCTTATCTGGTGTTCCATCTGGGGGGCTTTTGGAGCTACTCCCCAGACCCTGGGGCTCTTGAGTGTGTGTCACTGATAGCTTATGCCATCTTGGGTTTCTTGCCTCTGATTCCTTCATGTGTCCTTAGCCTTTGCTTGCCCATTATCTGCAGTCCCCACAGGTAATATGGCTTAAGTGGGCTTCATTAAGATGTACAATAATAATTATGCTTTTCAGGGCATGTATTCCTTACCATATTTTGCTCTAAGTGCTTTAAAGGCACAATTTCCTTTATTCCTATAGCAAAACAATAATTTTTATTTATTTTATAAACAAAGTTATTGACACTGATAGAAGTTAAGTAGTTTTCCCATAGTATACTGCTAATTTTAGAGCTTTAGATTGGAACCAGTTCTATCTGACTCCTAACCTGTGCTCTCAGTCAATTTACTAAACTGCTTGAATCCCAGATAGGTGTCCATCCTCCATGATTGGCTTTGGCTTAGCCAAAGCCCATACATTGACCTTCTCACATTTCCTAAGCATCATTCTAAAAGAGACCCAGCTTAACTAAATATTAGCAAATAATATAATTTGTGGGAAAATAAAAACTTTTTCACTGTGATATATTTTTTAATTTCTTTTAATCCATATTTGCTCTTTCTGCAAGACCCATTTCCAACCAAGTTTCTGTCCTCCTTAATAGCACTGATCTGTCCAGTACACACATAATCTCTTTTATTGTCCTAAGCAATTTAGCATTGACTCTCAACTTTGTTCTATTGTCCTGAGCAATTCAGCTTTGACTTTCAGCTTGCAAACCTCAAATTTAAACAATAAAGGAAATCACAAGTGAGCTGTTCCTTTCCTCCTTAAAAGGCACATCATCCATTGTTTCTTAAGACTGACTGTTGAGGATTTCTGTCTCAGACTTCATCAAAGTCTTCATTCCAAAAAAACTTTCTTGATATTATTCAGAGAATAGGAGGAGGTTCCATTGCTAACAAAATTTTTTGATAATTTTTGCATTCATAATTTGTCCAACCTCTAAATTAGCTTTTAAAGATTTACTCCACTGACTGTAAGATCCTTAAGTAATAATGATAGTCATAAAAGCCACTACTTATGATATGCCAGTCATCGAGCTAGTTCATTCATGTAAGACAAAGGTCAGCAAACTACAGACTACAGGCCATAAGTGGTTCCTTGCCTGTTTATGTATAGCCCACAAGCCAAGAATGACTTTTACAGTTTTAAATAGATAATACTTTAAAAGTGTTTAAAAATGAATAAAAGGTTAGAAAACATATTCTGAAAAGGGTCAGCTATTATGATGACATGAAGCTATGTGTCATGCACTTAATTTTCCCTCTTTATAAATTTTAAAACGAGTGATATCTTGATGTGAGCTTGGTAAAGATCTCTCTTCCTCTCCACTGGTTTTTTTCCAAATAGCTATGATTTCCAACTTTTTTTTTATAGAAGTACAGTTATAAATGTCAAGCCATGTAACATAATTAATAAAATTGACTTTCTTTATATTCTCTAGATATTTGTTTACAGATGAAGAATAAAGTAAAGTAATTATAAGGGTAGAAGCTGAGCTGTTACTACAAGAAAAGTGTGAATGTGAATGTGCTGCAGTGATTGGATGGTCCCAAGCACAACACACTCAGCCAAACTGAAAAAACAGCAGGAGAGGAAAGAAAAGAAAAGACATTTTTTTGTCCCATTGAGTCCCTCTATGTTCTTTCTGGCTGTCTGTACCCCTTCTCAATGGCATATTATCTAGATATTTTCCTTAATGCTTTAGTTCTATTTCTCTGCCTATGTAAAGTCTCTCTCACATTTTGGGACCCGGAGGTCTTGTACTCTGACCAATAAAATTTGGAAAATGTAATTATCATAGGTCATTATTGGAAATATAACACTATCCAAAGGAACTGATACCTTATGGTAGAAATCTGGTACATGGTAGGCAACGAGAAAGCTTTTCCTAGGAAAGGTGTGCCCAGATCACCCTTAAGGGCTTCCTGTGCTGGTGAAGATGGAGCTGGCTACAACACCTGGGTTACTCAGACTATAAAACAATAGGAGAAAGAAAAAGGAGAGGAAAAGAAATTTACTTTTTGTTTACTACCTATAAAACATTTCTTTTGCCTCTAGTGGGTGGTGTGTGAAAAAGGATGTACTTCATATATACAATAATTGGGGATGGGCTAGAGTAGGAGAGGTTCCAATTATCTGGCATTTATTAATTTTATTTTATTGTGGATAATTTTGCTTGTGAGGCACTAAAAAAGGGAAAGAGAAAATCACATCTATTATCTGTTTGCAGTTGTAAATCTTTAATAATGGCCATATAATTGGTAACTTAGCAATATACTACAGTGTTATCTTTAATTTGCCTTTCTAATTTATTTAATATGATCAGGTTTTAAAAAAACAAAATCCGTAACCTAACACATGCTCAAGGATTCAGCTTATGGAAAAATACAGAACCTTAATATATTTGGAAAACTTTCTACTACCCTGTCTAATCTATGTTAAATACAGCTTTTTTTAAAAGAATATAAATCTGAAAATGTGCTTATGACTAACAATGTTCTGCGATAAAAAAAATTTATTTAAAAGTCATTAAACTTTAAATGCTTTGTCCTTGTAAACTCTTTATAAGAAAACTCAACATTTTCTCTTAAAATGTGTGAAATAAAGTCGTATTCAATATTTTCTGTTAAAATGTGTGAAGTAAAGTCAGAATTCTTTTCAAAAACCGCTGACATTATGAACTGTGGCATGAAATACATGTCTTCAGAAAGCTCACTGCTTTAACTCTTCAGAGTAAAATTAAGCTACCAGATAATTTCCATTTAGTGTTACATTAACTGCATTTCTTTAAGTCATAAAAATATGCTGTAAAATATATCACAATGCTCAATATGGCTCTGGAGGGATATTGCTTTAAGCCAAAGAAGCAACCCAGGGTGAAGCTGCAGGACTAGCAACAGCTGGCTACAGTTGAGGGATCCAGTCTTCAAGAAGCCAATACCAGGAAGGCAATCACCAGCCATAGGGAGGTATTTACAAGTGAGAGTCCCAGCCTGTGGGGTGGGATTTAGGCATGAGCCTTTAGAACCTTTTTAGGTGGAGGTGATCGTGACCAGAGCAGAGGTGATCCTGTAGGGAGAGATAGACAATAAGACCCTGTGAATTACTAACAAGTCTGAAGTCTAAGTTCCATAACACCAGTGCCCAAGTTCCATAAGCAAAGATCAGACTCTGAAATTTTCTCAACAAGATTAAGATACATCTTAGAAGCTTGGATGGAGTTGAGGCTACAAGGAACAATTAGGTAGCCCCAGCATGGGAAAAGGCAGATGTAATGTTCAAAGTGGGCAATCTCTAACAGCAGAAACTCAAATGAACATGTATTTGTATTTTTTACTGGGGAATGGAAAAGATGGTATTGAATGAAGAGCTTTTAAGGATGGGTGGAATTGAGATAAGCAAAGAAAAGAGGGAAAGGGCATTCCAGGAGGAAGGCCTAACATAGGCAATGAGATGAAGAGTTGTTGAGAAATGACAAAATTTATTACGTGGTTGAGCAAAGGGTGATTAGAAATAGGATGGTCCCCTGTAGTGACAAGTGGATTTGAGGAAGTAGCATTTGAGGAATGACAGGTAAATGAGTAGTAAGAGGAAGAATACATGGAAGCAGAATGAGCCTAAATAATGAGATGTTTTGGGTGCCATCTTGAGGAACTTAGGATTTATCTAAAAGCACCAACTGGCATTCAATATTTGGGGAGGGAATTAATTGAACTTAACCTTCTTTTTGGAGGATAACTTTGGAGACAGTCTGATGCATTTGCATTCTACTGTTAGCAAAACATAAGTCTCAAACTAGGAGAGAGCAATAGCAGTACTACAAATAATTTGAAGAAATGTAGCTTCAGTAAAAAAAAAAAAACACATTATTAAGATAACTCAAAACAGTTAAATTAAAGAAAAAAAAAATTTGTTCCCAATTTCTGACACCTGAATTTCCCAAATGCTGGGACCCACCACCAAAATTCTGATTAGTAGCTCCTGGAAGGAAGCTGGGAATCTCCATTTTGAACAAAGGCTGGGCGCAGTGGCTCACGCCTATAATCCCAGCATTTGGGGAGGCCGAGGCGGGTGGATCATGAGGTCAAGAAATTGAAACCATCCTGGTCAACATGGTGAAAACCCCATCCCTACTAAAAATACAAAAATTAGCTGGGCATGGTGGTGCATGCCTGTAGTCCCAGCTACTCGGGAGGCTGAGGCAGGAGAATTGCTTGAACCCAGGAGGCAGAGGTTGCGGTGAGCCGAGATCGTGCCATTGCACTCCAGCCTGGGTAACAGGAGCAAAACTCCATCTCAAAACAAACAAACAAAAAGAAAGAAACAATAGCTTCATACAATGCTTAGGATCCAACACGTCAAGTGGATAGAAAAGACAGGAGGCAATTTATTGACCTGGATTAAATTGCTGTGTTCTATTTGTGATCATTCTTGAAATGTGTACTATTTACATACTTTTTTCTACATATTTTAAGTTTCAATTAAAGTTTATTAAAATACATAAATTGAATAGAATGTTTGAGTAACAACATAAGAATTTAAATTAGTACTTACTTCAATTTTTATGTTTTAATTTAATGTTTAATTCTATTAATAAACAGAAACATACTGTGACAGCTACTTTTCTGTATCAACTTGACTATGCTAAAAGATGCCCAGGTAGCTGGCAAAACATTATTTCCAGCTGTGTTTGTGAAGGTGTTGCCATAAGAAATCAGTATTTGAATTGGGGAACTGAGTAAAGCAAATGACCCTCCCTAATATCAGCAGGCATCACTAAATCTTCTGAGGGCTTGAGTAGAACAAAAAGTGGAGAAACGACAAATTTACTCACTCTAGGTGAGCTGAGATGTTCATCTTCTCCTGCTTTACAACATCAGCACTCCTGGTTTTTGGAGTGTCAGTTTTACACCACCATTCCCCTCACCCCCGATTCTCAGACCTTCAGAATATGATTGAATCACACCACTGGCTTTCCTGGTTCTACAGCCTGCAGAGGGCAGATTGCGGGACTTCCAACTTTCAGAACCACATTCCCCAGTTCTTATAGTAAATCACCTCTTCTACATATCTATATAGGTATCCTAATGATTCTGTTTTCTTCAGGACACTGACTAATATACATACCTATGTGGAAAATGGGATCTTACAAATATTTAGAATTCACCTTTTTTCAACTATTTTACTCTAAGTCTGGGATATGTGTGCAGAATGTGCAGCCTCATTACATAGGCATACCTGCGCCATTATGATTTACTGCACTCAATTAAGTATCTGTGTTTTAATCCCTGCATGCATTAGGTATTTGTCATAATACTCTCCCTCCCCTTGCCCCCACCCCACAACGGGCCCCAGTGTGTGATGTTCCCCCCACTATGTCCGTGTGTTCTCATTGCTCAACTCCCATTTATGAGTAAGAACATGCACTGTTTGGTTTTCTAGTGTTAGTCCTGTTTTAGTCCGCTGAAAATGATGGTTTACAACTTCATCCATGTCCCTGCAAAGGACATAAACTCATCCTTTCTTATGGCTGCATAGTATTCCATGGTGTGTATGTGCCATATTTTCTTTATCCAGTCTATCATTGATGGGCATTTGGGTTGGTTCCAAGTCTTTGCTATTGTGAACAGTGCGGCAATAAACATGCATGTGCATATGTCCTTTTTTATTTATTTATTTATTTTTTGAGATGGAGTTTTGCTCTTGTTACCCAGGCTGGAGTGCAATGGTTCAATCTCGGCTCACCGCAACCTCCACCTCCTGGGTTCAGGCAATTCTCCTGCCTCAGCCTCCTAAGCAGCTGGGATTACAGGCATGCGCCACCATGCCCAGCTAATTTTTTGTATTTTTAGTAGAGATGGGGTTTCACCATGTTGACCAGGATGGTCTTGATCTCTTGACTTTGTGATCCACCTGCCTCGGCCTCCCAAAGTGCTGGGATTACAGGCTTGAGCCACCGTGCCCGGCCTGCATGTGTCTTTATAATAGAATGACTTATAATCATTCTACTATATTCCTTTGGGTATATGCCCAGTAATGGGATTGCTGGGTCAAATCATATTTCTGGTTCCAGATCCTTGAGGAATCGCCACACTGTCTTCCACAATGGTTGAACTAATTTACACTCACGACAACAGTGTAAAAGCATTCCTATTTCTCCATATCCTCTCCAGCATCTGTTGTTTCCTGACTTTTTAATGGTCAACATTCTACCTGGACTAAGATGGTATCTCATTGTGGTTTCGATTTGCATTTCTCTAATGACCAGTAATAATGAACTTTTTTTTCATATGTTTGTTGGCGCATAAATGTCTTCTTTTGAGAAGTGTTTGTTCATATCCTTTGCCTCCTTTTTGATGAGGTTGTTTTTTCTTCTTGTAAATTTGTTTAAGTTCCTTGTAGATTCTAGATATTAGCCCATTGTCAGACCGAAAGATTGCAAAAATTTTCTCCCATTCTGTAGGTTGCCTGTTCACTCTGATGACAGAGTCTTTTGCTATGCAGAAGTTTTTAGTTTAATTAGATCCCATTTGTCAATTTTGGCTTTTGTTGCCGTTGCTTTTGGTGTTTTAGCTATGAAGTCTTTGCCCATGCCTATGTCTTGAATGGTATTGCCTAGGTTTTCTTCTATGGTTTGTATGGTTTTAGGTTTTATGTTTAAGTCTTTAATTTATCTTGATTTAATTTTTGTGTAAGGTGTAAGGAAGGGATCCAATTTCTGTTTTCTGCATATGGCTAGCCAGTTTTCCCATCACCATTTATTAAGTAGGGAATCCTTTCCCATTGTTTTTTTTGTTTTTGTTTTTGTTTTTTGAGAGAAGGAAAGAAACAAAAAAAAGGCGTGAAGGAGAGAAAGAAAAAGGAAGAAAAAGAGGGAGAGAGAACGGGAATGTTGCTTTATTCTAAAAATGGGTATTGAAAACCTCTTTTATGCCAATAATTGTGCTTAATAATGGCCGATCAATATTTCATTTAAACCTATGAGTAGGTGTGATGCGGTACTGACAAGAATGTATATTTTGTGTATTTAAAGTGGAGAGCACTATAAACGTTTATTAAGTTTACTTGTTCCAGATCTGAGTTTAAGTCCTGGATATCCTTATTAATTTTCTGTCTCATTGATCTATCTAATATTGATGTTGAAGTCTCCCACTATTACTGTGTGGGAGTCTAGGGAGTCTAAGTCTCTTTATAGGTCTTATGTATCTGGGTGTTAGGATCGTTAGCTCTTATTGTTGCACTGATCCTTTTACCACTATATCTTTGTTGCTTTAAAATCTATTTTATCAGATGCAAGAATTGCAACTCCTGCTTTTTATTTATTTATTTATTTTTGCTCTCCATTTGGTTGGTAAATCTTTCTTCATCCCTTTGTTTTGAGTCTTTGTGTATCCTTGCATGTGAAATGGGTCTGGATGTAGCATACCATTGGGTTTTGGCTGTATCTTTTGATAGGGGGATTTAGTCGATTTCAATTTAGGATTACTGCCATTTGATGTTAACTGGCTGTTTTGTCCATTCGTTGATGTAAATTCTTTTTTATGTTGATGCTCTTTACTTTTTGGTATATTCTTAGAAAGGCTAATACTGGTTGTTCCTCTCTATGTGTAATGCTTCTTTCAGAAGCTCTTGTAAAGCAGGCCTGGTAATAATAAAATCTCTCAGTACTTGCTTGTTCATAAAAGATTTTATTTTTCCTTCAGTTGTGTTTGGCTGGATATGAAATTCTGGGCTAAAAATTCTGTTCTTTAAGGATGTTGAATATTGGCCCCCACTCTCTTCTGGCTTGTAGGGTTTCTGCTGAGAGATCTGCTGTAAGACTGATAGGCTTCCCTTTGTGGGTAACCTGACCTTTCTCTCTGGCTGCCCTTAGTATTTTCTCCTTCATTTCAACCCTGGTGAATCTAACGATTATGTGCCTTGGAGTTGCTCTTCTTGAGGACTATCTTTGTGGTGTTCTCTATATTACCTGGGGTTGAATATTGTCCTGCTTTGCTAGGTTGGGAAAGTTTTCCTGAATAATATCCTAAAGACTATTTTCCAACTTGGATTCATTCTCTTTGTCATATTCAGGCACACCTATCAAACATAAATTAGGTCATTTCACATAGTCCCATATTTCTTGGAGACTTTGCTCATTCCTTTTTATCCTTTTTTCTCTATTCTTGTCTTCTCATTTTATTTCATTAAGTTGGTCTTCAACATCTGATATCCTTTCTTCTGCTTGATCAATTCGGCTATTAAAACTTGTGCATATTTCACTAAGTTCTCGTGTTGTGTTTTTCAACTCCGTTAATTCATTTCTATTCCTCTCTATATTGTCTATTCTTGTTAGCATTTCGTCAAACCTTTTTTCAAAGTTCTTAGTTTCTTTACATTGGGTTAGAACAAGTTCTTTTAACTCCCAGAAGTTTCTTATCATCCACCTTCTGAAGCCTACTTTTGTTAATGGAACACAGTCCTTCTCCATCAGGCCTTGTTCCATTGCTGATGAGGAACTGTAATCCCCTGTAGAAGAAGAGGCATTCTGATTTTGGGTATTCTCAGCCTTTTTAGGCTGGTTTCTTCCCTTTGTTATAAATTTATACATCTGTCATCTTTACCATTACCACCTTTCTAATTAGGTTTCTGAGTGGATGTCCAATTTATTGATTCCCAGCGCCAGAATCTGAGCAACCCACTGTGCCAGCCAAAACAGCAGCGTTAAGACTGATGGTGCTCTTCTGCCCGGGAATCCCCGGTCTGGCTTCCTTCTTGAGTCCATAATAGGCAACTCTGCCTTCCCGGAGCTCCAAACGTCAGTCAGAAGGGGAACCAGTCCAGTTTACTCTGCACCAAGAGCTGCCACGCCGAGGCACCAGCAAAACCGCTGCGCTGGACACAAGAGTCGCACTGGCAACCTGTGGGACTCCTTCACTGGGAATCTTCTGGTCCATGAGCGACAAAAATTCGTCTGAAAGTGTGGCGTCCTCTCGTTCTCTGCATTTTCACTGGGAGCTACAATCCCAAGCTATTAGTGATCAGCCATCTTGGATCTCTCTCCCTCCCCATTGTTTGTTTTTGTCAGGTTTGTCAAAGATCAAATAGTTGTAGATGTGTGATGTTATTTCTGAGGCCTCTGTTCTATTCCATTGGTCTATATATCTGTTTTGATACCAGTACCATGCTGTTTTGGTTATTGTAGTATAGCCTTGTAGTATAGACTAAAGTTAGCTAGCATGATGACTCCAGCTTTGTTCTTTTCACTTAGGATTGTCTTGCCTATACAGGCTCTATTTTGGTCCCATATGAAATTTAAAGTAGTTTTTTTCTAATTTTGTGAAGAAAGTTGATGGTGGCTTGATGGGAATAGCATTTAATCTATGAATTACTTTAGGCAGTATGGCCATTTTCACAATATTGACTCTTCCTATCCATAAGCATGGAATGATTTTCCATTTGTTTGTGTCTTCTCTCACTCCCTTGAGCAGTGGTTTGTAGTTCTTCTTGAAAGATCCTTCGTGTCTTTT